ATTTGGGGTTTTTGGTGGCTCCATATGAATTTCATCAATATTTTTTCTATTTCTTTGAAGAATGTCATTGAAATTTATCATAAATGGGTGTTGTACTTTGTAAAATGCTTTCTCAGCCTCTATGGATATTATCATATGGTTTTTATATTTCTTTTTGTTGATGTGTTGGATTACATTAATTGACTTTCTGATGTTGAACCATCGTTGTGTCCCTGGAATAAATCCTACTTGATCGTGGTGAATTATCTTATGGATGCATTGTTGGATTCTGTTGGCAAGGATCCCTGATAAACTTTTTAAGAATTTCAATTAATTTGTGTCTTCTAGTGGGCAATTTCCTGTGTTTACTTTTTAAAAAATATTTACCTTCAGTTCTGACGGGTAATCTTATACAGAATTTTAAATTGGCATTGATTTTTGAAGGGGAACAAACATCTGTCAGTCCCAAAATATGTTCTTGCAATTGTACAACCCTACCTAGCAGGGGCCTCCTAATGTTAAAGGGTGCGCCTTCAAAGAGTTGGTCATCTATGTGCACAGAGGCAAAGACAGCAGACTCTTAGTGTGGAAGAACTTTCCATGTTCAGAGACAGAGAGAGAAGAAAGATTTCAAATAATAGCAAACTCTGAAAATTATCCATTTTCCTGTGGGCAAAAGCCCAGTAAAAGATGCTCAACCCAAAGCGGGCCAGTTGCCACAAGTCTAAGAAAGCTTCTGGTGGGGAACCTCAAGAAAGGATTTAGGCAGGTGTCAGAGAACTTGGACAGAAGGAGGGCCCCAAATTCAAAATACATGATGTAATCCACCATGATGTCACTACAACAGATGCCATCATCTCTGCAAAACACTTTAGTCCCAGAAGCAGACTCTTCACGTGTCACTCACCCACATGTCACTCCCCCAAGTTCTTGCATGCATAAATAAATAAATCTTAAAAAAAGAAATAGGAAATCTAATATTTGCTATGAATTATCATGTTATTTGAATGCTCAAAAAACAAATATTTTGAGTAAGTGTTGACATCATGTTATGACTAAGAATAGGTTTGCAGAATGTTTTCCCAATCATATGAGTGCAGATGAGAGTTTAAGTAATGAAGGAGTAGGAAATTGAGAATATGGCAAAATTCCAATTTAACAAAATGACCGAATTTATGCTATAGATTCATACAAAACTGATAAATTCCATTAGTTTTTCCTTTTCTGGCAAAATGTCTGTTATTGTGTGGTTATGAGGATGACTACATGTCACTGACCAGGCCAGGCAGGGAGCATCCAAGCAGTTGTTCCTTTCACCATAAGGGTGGCCAGTTCCAGGCCACCCAAATCCTGCTCTTACTTCAGGCGGACGCTGTGCACTGACAGGGCTTCACAGCTGGTGTCTCTGGTGGGCTGAGACACTCATGGTCCAGAGCTCTCCACCACCTTCCTCTGACACACACTCAGGGTCTTCTCTGACTGCTCATGAGACAAAAGTCAACTGCGTGGGCATCTGGTCCAGGCCATGAGGGAGGTTTTTGTTCGGGGCTCAACCACTGTGGGAGGGTAATGTGTACCTTGCAAGCAGTAATAGATTCCAACATCCTCAGGCTCCACCCTGCTGATCTTCAGGGTGAAATCTGTGCCTGACCCGCTGCCAATGACCCTGTCTGGGACCCCAGAGGGCCTGTTGGAGACCTTATAGATCAGGCGCCTTGGAGATTGGCCTGGCTTCTGCTGGAACCAATACAAATAGGTGTTTCCATCACTATATAGGAGGCTCTGACTGGCCCTGCAGGAGATGGAGACCTGCTCCCCAGGGACGACGGGCAGGGAGAGTGGCATCAGGGTCTGCACAACCTCCCCACTGGATCCTGAAGAAAGGAGAGAAAAGTGACAAGCAAAGACAAGTATTATCAGTCATTTTCATTATTTCAAGTCTGTTATTCATTTAGGCTAAAATACTGCTTTGTTTTACTATCAATATTTGAGGTATATAATTGTACACCAAAACCATGAGCTCACAATAAATAACTTGTGGGAAGAGACCCCAAAACTTTGCCTGCCCTCTCTAGTCAGGGTCCCCAGGGTACAGATGCTTCACGTAGTCACAGACTTAGCACCACTTTCTCTTAAGGACAAGGCACACACACCTAACACAGAAACGGAATACACATGGGGAGCGGAGGGCCCCAGAGCTCAGGTTCCCCACCCTGGGCTCCATTCTCACCTCCCCTCTGCCTTACCTGGGGTCCAGAGCATCAGCAGCCCCAGGAGCTGAGCAGGGAACCTCATTTTGAAAGGGTGACCTGATGGCCCTGTCGGGTGAGATCAGTCTGCAGCTGGTGTTTAATCTCAGCCCTGAAGGCCCAGGTCCTCCCTAGGGACCCCCATGCAAATGCCCCTGGTGGGGGCAGTGGGGTGGATAGAGCCCAGGGGAGACCAGAGGGTTTCATAGGAAAACAGTGAGTGTCTTGTCTTTCATCAGTCTCAGGGCAACTGAAAGAAACATTTGTGTATCCCAAAGACAAGAAAGATCAGATTCTGCAAGTTTATTTGTTTTGTGCACAATGCAAGCCGTGTATTCCTGCTTCTCTTCAAATTGCATATACTGAGGCACTGCCTCTGACCACGCAGAGACGTGTCCAGGTCTCCCTCAGGTAAGTGAGTGACCACCTTCTTGGCTTCTCCCAGGTGATCTCACGAGTGACTCAGCTCCTCCTCTGGACTGATGAGCAGCGTCTCAAGGTACAGGATGGATGTGAGGGTCAGTGTCCTTTGTATCTGCTGTGATCAGGTTAACAGTTTAACTCTGTCAGATAGAAGGACCTAGTACACTGATCTCCATAGGTATATTGAAGTCAGAAGACCCTGACAAGGAGAATACACTTTCTTTCTTAGAGAGACCAAATAGACTTGTTTAAGAAGAAAGAACAAAAAAAAAATGTTGTATCTTAGTAAATGCCAAATTTAGGGCAGCCAGTTATTAAAGTCTGTTGAACTCTATCATCCTTATACACTGTAGTCATAATGAATTAATTTAAGAAATTTCTGAAGGAAAAGAGATCTTGGGGGAATGGAACTAAGTCAATAAGAAACTATATATATGTGTGTGTGGATGTATGTATGATAAGAGGCAAACAAACATGAAAATAACACAATCCTGACCACGTCTGAATCTGGCCATGCACACAGGCCACTGGTGATGGAGAGGACACAGGTGGAGAATGACCTGTATGAGGTCCCGAGGGAGGAGACACCTGCGTCTCCAGTCCTGAGCACGGTCCCTGACGGAGGACAGACAGTGACAGCGGCTGCTCTTCCTCAGATATGAAGCTGACACTGGACAACGTGAAGAGACAGGGCCCCACTGCGCAGGTGATGCTTTGTTTACATTGGGGTGCTAGTTGTCACCTCCCGTATGGCCATCTCTTCTGGATGCACATTTACCACAGCCCCTTTTCTCTGTATGTCTCCTTAGAATTGTCCTAAGGGGTCCTCACTGAGCTCTGGAAGAGGAGAGGATTCACTCGTGCATCACGCCTGCAGTTCTGGAGAGACACCTGGAGAGCTGCAGCAGAGGCTAGAGGTTCTGCGCCCTGCCCTGGGCTTTTCAGAGAGGTCTGAGGACCACAATAGCAGGCAACTTATCCACTCAGTGATAATATGCTCTAGTTTCCTGGACAGCGACAGAGAACTCCATGCCGGGTGTTTGCTTCCCTGAACACATGCCCCTAGACCTTGAAAGGATTGTAATTTAACCTCTACCTCCCTCTATTAAAACATTTCTAGACAAGAAAGAATAGGGAGAAAAATTGCAAAAGACATATCAGGGATGGCACTATTATTTGAAATACACAGATAATTCTTAAAACAATCATCTCAATAAAAATTGGGGCAATGTCCTTAGCAGACCCCTCACCCAAGGAGATACACAGTCGACTCATAAGCAAGTGAAGTGATGGGCCACATGTCACATCATCTGGAAATGCAAAGGAAATCAGCAGTAGCCCCACTGCACCCCCATTGGGATGTCTGAATCTAGAACAGTGACACTTCATCACAACATCATCTGTCACTAAGATGTGACCCCAGGGACTATCTCACGCATCACGGTGGGCACGGAAATTGGTGCCATCACTTTGGACCACAGGGCGTTGGTTTCCTACAAGATGAGCACACTCCTGCATGTCAGCCAGCAACTGGACTCCTTTGTATTTCCCCCAAAGAGTTAAACATCCACATTACCCTGACCTCAGTGCTTATGGAACTTTACTCATAAATTAAGAATTTGGGAGCGCCCAGGTGTCCTCCAGGGGCTGGTAAATGTACAAATAAACTGTGGCTCATCCAGACAATGGATCATTGCTCAGCACTAAATGGTCCCCACCATGATATTTGAGGGAGGCCCTGATGTCACATCATCATGACAGGTGACGCTGTGAGGAGGGGTCACTGTTATAGTCAGGCATCCTAGGGGGTGACTGTGTGCTGCTGATGATTTAATTTGTGATTCCTGAATGAACAAAAATGGACATGGAAGAAACTTAATTTTAAGGGCAGAAATCAAGCTGAAAAACGTGCATCCATGTGAAGGACATTCAGGGGAAGGGGACACAGTGGGGACAGTAATGACGTCAAGGGCTATGGGGGGATTAAGAGGTGGAGCACGAAGGAATATGAAACAGTGAAGCTGCTCTGTGGGCACTGTCACTGGGGACACGAGCCCTGGTCAGCTGCAAACCCTTAGTGCCTGAGCACTAAGCAGGACCCTGAGCAGGGGCGGGTCCTCTTCTAGTCTGTGGGTTCAGGGTCTTTAGCTGGAACATCTGTACACCTGCTGGGGAGATGAGGTCAGCGTGGGAGGAGGGTGTTATGGGAAAATAATTATGCTCAATTTCTAGGAGTCTTAATCATCTGTGTGTGTGTGTATGTGTGTATTTTATTTTAAAAACTTCTTACTCAAATTACAGTGGCTCCCTACCACTATGACCTCATCAGGTCACAGGCAGACAGCTCAGGTGTCATCAGCTCTGTCTTTATTGAATTCACAGAGACATTGTTTTCTCTGTGCTGCTGGGCAAGGAGGGAAAAGAGAGTTAGGGACAAAGAACCACCTTCTCCTTCTACCAGACCCTTCAGTCCTTCGAAGTGAGACTCCATCTGAGATGTGCTCTCAGCAGATAGAAGCAGCATGGAAAGCAGCTGGGCTGCCCAGCCTCACACAGCTGCTCCCTGGGTGGTTTTTGTTCAGGCTTGTGTCACTGTGGGAGGAGAACTGTAACTGTGAAGACAGTAGTAAGTGGCAACATCTTCAGGCTCCAGGCTGCTGATGGTGAGAGAATAATCAGTCCCAGATCCACTGCCACTGAAGCGGGATGGGACCCCAGTTTGCAAATTGGATGCACCATAGATGAGGAGCTTAGGAGCTTTCCCTGGATTCTGCTGATACCAGTTTAAATAACTGCTAATACCCTGACTGGCCCGGCAGGAGATGGTGACTCTGTCTCCCGGAGATGCAGACACGGAGGATGGAGACTGGGTCATCTGGATGGCACACTTGACCCCTGGGATGGAAACAGAAAACACACCCACACTGTCATCCTGTCATCAGAGGACTTCCCTGAGGGCCAGGGGTTCTGCCCACCCGAGGCTGATCAATCTGTTGTTTTCTTCCTCACCTGGGAGCCAGAGCAGCAGGAGGCTGAGGAGCTGAGCAGGGGCCCTCATGTCCATGCTGGGTCCTGTCTGGACTGACCCTCAGGGGCTGGGACTGACTATGAATAGTGTGGAGGGAGGGGCTGTGCTTGGAAACATGCAAATGAGCAGGGGCGGGGCAGTGGGCACAGCTGCAGGGGCTGATCATTTTCCTGCAGAGAAAGCATTTTTGCCTGAAGAACACAGGACAGAATCAGTTACTGTCCTGTGAGTGGAGTGTCTTTTGATCTCAATATTTAGGAAAAGCATCACTTCCTATTCTTCATGTCATACAGATCCTTTCAAATGTAACACTCCGTGAATTGTGTTTTCATTTTCATTAGGGTATGTTCTTAAGGCTAGTGAGGTTTCCTTTTCACTCTGGTTCCCTGATATTGCTGGAGTGAAAATTATCATCACTGCCAACCAGATGCAGTGAGGTGGGAGGACAATGCAGAGTGTGGCTGTGAGGAGCTGTGAGAGCCCAGATACTGAGCATCCTCCCTGCTGACCTCATCTCCAGCTAAGCCTTGTGTCTCTGCACTGTCTGAGGCCCTGTCCCACCACGTCTGCCTCAGCACCAAGCTCAGGGTGTTCTCCCCAATATCTGACAGTCTCCTCCCTCCCCAGCGCTGTGTCATCACACAGACCCAAGCGCACGGTTCCAGTCTCCCTGGTCTGTCGCTCACGTCCTTCATCCTCCTTCCCCAGGTGCTCCCTTCTGAGCTGAGGTCCTCCCAGACCAACTCCTGGTGATCCCTGGAGTCTACTGCGTTCCTCCATCTGCATGTTCATCAGTCACCAAATATCCTCCAGGTGTTGAGACAGCAGCTCTTGGTGCTGGAGCAGGGAGTTGGGACCCAGGTAGAGTAAGGAGACTGTGTAGAGGAAGGTGAAGGGAGACACTGCACTGAGTTTGGAGCTCATGCAGTGTAGACTGATCTTCCTTAAGGGAATGAGGAGTGTATAGCATGAAGTGTGGAGGAGAGTGTGGGAGCAAGGGGTTTCCACATGGAGAGTTGGATCTGTTTGCTGGTGCAGAGCTATGAACTAGATGAGATGAGGAGCATCGTGTGTCTTTGATGCTTGCCCACTTCCCCAATATAGTCACAGACTCTTTCTTCATTAAAGAGCATGTCCCTGGAAATGGAACTTGGGTGAGTTTAAGCACCAATCCTAAATCAGTCCTCGACCACTGGGATCGAGCCCGTAGTTGATGTGAGTTGCAGAGAGGACAGCAGGGAGGGATATGGATGGAGACAGAGCCAGCCTGCGTGTGACAGACCGAGGAGCCCCAGTACCTGAGGTGGCTGCAAAGACAGGAACCGTGTCCCCCATACTTGGGGACACCTGTCTGTGTCCCATGTTCTGTGTGCTGTGTGGCCAGCTCTAGTGACGTAGAGAATGTTCTTTCATCTTTAGTGTCTTTGTTTCCAAGTGCATCTAAACATGTCCATTCAAGCATCACCCTCCTATGCGGAGCTGAGGATCTTCCATGTGTGAACAAACTGCGACATGCAGGATAGTGCAGCTCGTTGACAGCTAGACCATTGCTGCTTTAGGGCCCTGTGGTGAATTTATGAAAACGTGTGTGTGTTTGAGTGAGGGGTGGGGAGGTGTGTTTGTGAATGTTTTCAGATCTGTTTTCTGAGCTTACTCTTCAGTAAGATTATGTTCCGTCTTATACTTGTGACTAATATTTTTAAAATTTTTAATCAAGGGTCTCCCCTGTTGGCATAGCGGTTGAGCGCTGGGCTCCGAAGCTGCCCGCAGTCTCTGCAGCGCCGGTTCGATCCCTGGCCTCCGGCAATGGTCTCATATGGTGCGACAGACCTCTCCTGCCGCGCCTGCTGCTCCCCTCAGCAGTGTATTTCTTCGTCAGTCTGCCTGTTCTGTTACCCGCTCTGGCTCTGGTGAATTCTCCAACCCTCCCACTCTTCTGACTATACCCAGTGTTTGTTTATATAAATAAATAAATCTTTAAAAACTTTTTTTTAAAGTAAGTTTAGGTTAAGATTTTTAATGGCTCCAACAAAAAAATTGTTGTAAAAAATGTAGGAAATAGACTATCATTTCTTATTTTTCTGACTTGTACAACACTTGGCCTACATCATTTATGAAACTCTAAACTCAGATTTTAAACAGACCACGTCACAGTAAAAATAAATAAATAAATAACTTTCATACATAAAGTGTTGTTGCCAATTCCATGATGAAAATATTTAGCTTAAGATTGCAGGATCAGGGCCTCCCGGGTGGCACAGCAGGGATTGAGCACTGCACTGTGAAGCTGTCCGCAGCCTCTGCAGTGCGGTTCGATTTGCGACTGACCAGGGAGCAACCCACATCGTGCAGCAGACCTCTCCTGTCTCGCCCGCTGCTCCTATCAGCAGTGTACTTTGGTCCTTCTGCCTGTTTGGCTCCCTGCTATGTCTCAGGTGAATTCTCTCATCCTCCTGTGCCACTGGCCTGTACCCCAGTTCTTGTATAAATGAATAAACCTTAAAAAAAAGGATTGTAGGATCATTTGTCAAATATTTAGACACAATTAGCAGAACCCAAAATACGCATTGCGTTAAATAGCAAGTGTGAACAGGAAGAGTAAATAAGATCTGTGTACTCAAACAGTGAAAATCCCAAGTGGTAGGTAAGAAAACGCTCACTCCATTGCCCTGTGCGTCACTAACACCCACCTTCCTTCCTAGTCTCCCTGTGGCTCCATCCTGCTAGCTCTGCGTAAAGGGAGGCGCCTGTGTGGAGCCAGCAGTCCTGGTGCTGTGTGCCATGCCGGTCCCGGTGTTCAGTCTCCCATTGCGGCAGGACTCTGAGTCCCGCCATGTGGACAGGCTTAAACAGTGGCCTCCTTACAGGCCCTGCAGGTCATGGTGTTTGGAGAAAGGTGGGGAAGAACAGGGAGGGGCAGGTTAGCTGACCCCGGGGGAATTGCAAGGCCTTGGATTCTTACTCTGGGTGAAGTGGAATGTGGGAAGAGTTGAGCAGAGAAGCATGAGGTACATTTACAAAGATCCTGTGGTGCTGAGTGGAGACTAGATTGGGGGTGGCCTTGGAGGAGGGTGTGGCCATGGTCCGGATGAGGGATGAGAAAGGTTTTCCTGACCCCCACAGATCAGCAGTCTCTCAGCGCCACACTCTCTATCCCATTGCCTGATTTATATTAGGACTGATTTATATCAGGATTTGTATTAGGACATTTCCTGACATTATCTATTCATTCCCATTTACACAGCTATTGTTTCCTGCGGGCCCCCTCCTCCTGCCACAGGGGCTCTGCCACACACTACTGGCGGGATTTCAAGCTGGTGTAGTCACTTTGGATCACTGTTTGCTGGTTTCTTGCAACATTAACCATACACTTAACCATCTAGTCCAGCAGTGATTGGACTCTCTGGTATTTTCCCAAAAGGGTTTAGCCAGATGCTCACAAACAACCTGCACACAATGTTTATAACATTTTATTCCTAAATACCAAATATCGAAGCCTGAGAGGTGTCATTCAGTAGATGTTAAATGTATAAATCAATGGAGACACATCCAGACAATGGAATATTAATCGACACTCAATAAAAATAAGCTAATATGTTCTGAAATGACATGGACACAAATGAAATGCTCATTTAAATGAAGAAGCCAATCTGAAACAGGCTGTGATTTCCATTTATGGGCATTCTGGAAAAGGGAACGCTAAAGAGGCAGTGAAATCAGTGATGTTAGGGGTTTTAGGAATGGGTGGAGTAACGGAACACAGAGAAATGTTAGGGCAGTGATCCTCCTCTTTGTGATGGTACAAAGGTGAGTACATATCCTTATCATTGTCCTTATTCTAAACTGTCCTTAGAATATACAATACCAAGAGTAAGCCCCCTTATTAATTATGTATTGTGGGTTTGAGAAATGGCAATGTAGTTTCATTAATATAAAAGTTCTAGTCTGGTATGGGATGTTCAGTGTTGGAAAGAATGGAACCCCTTTTACCAGAAACCTCCAATCACCTTCTACTAAACTGCAAGTGAGAGCAGCTCTCAGCAGATGGGGCACCAGGAGGAGCAGCTGGGACAGCCCAGCCTCACACAGCTGCTCCCTGGGTGGTTTTGGCTCAGGCTTCTGCCACTGTGGGAGACCAATTATAACTTTGCTGACAGTAGTAAGTGGCAGCATCTTCAGGCTCCAGGCTGCTGATGGTGAGAGTGAAATCTGTCCCTGATCCACTGCCACTGAACTGGGATGGGATCTCAGGTTACAAATTGGATGCCCAATCAATGATGAGCTTAGGAGCTTTCCCTGCTTTCTGCTGGTACCAGTGTAAATTATTGCTAACACTCTGACTGGCCTGGCAAGAGATGTGACTTTGTCTCCTGGAGATGCAGATAGGGAGGGTGGAGACTGGCTCACTTGGATGTCACACCTGGCCCCTGAAATGGAAAGACAAAACACTCACACTGTCATCCTGTCATCAGAGGACTTCCCTGAGGACCAGGGGTCCTGCCCACCCGGGGCTGATCAACTCTTGGTGTTTTCTTCCTCACCTGCTGCCACTGAACCTGTCCGGGACCCCAGAGGGCCTGCAGATGATTATAGATCAGTTGTCTTAGAGGCTGGTCTGGCTTCTGCTGGAACCAATGCAAGGCTCTGACTGGCCCTGCAGGAGAGGGAGACCTGCTCCCCAGGGACGACGGGCAGGGAGAGGGGCGTCTGGGTCAGCACAACCTCCCCACTGGATCCTGAGATAATGAGAAAGAAATACAAGGTTATGACCAAATTTAATGAACCTTTTTCATACATTTCCTTTGGTAATTATTTCTTGCTACATCATTGTATTTTTGATTATGATACTGATAGTGAAAATATCTACTTTCCAAACTGATTTGCAGGAATCTCTACAATCCTCCTACACCCTCCCTCTCTTTCTGTGTCACCGTTCACTAGAGCACAGGTCCCTAACACTGAGTCCTAATTTTTGATTGCTGCTACCGAGACACTGAGAGGTATGTGTCTAAAGTGTGTACAGAATACACAGGAGTGGTCACCCTGAGCTCAGCCTCCCACCCC